AAAGTGAGCGGTTATCTCAGTAGGATCAGTGACCCAGTCCAGATTCACAGTGGTGCCCTAGGACACCCAGCCGCTCCTGTGAGACACGGGGCTGTGAAAGGAAAATTAACAACGCATTTTATAAATAGCCCTCGCCACAGATACAGGGAGCACCGTCCTTATCACTAAATGATGCTAAAAAAGAAAGTGGTTAGATATGCGCAAGCATGTACAAGCTAGCATCTGATTTTTGAAGGTCAAAATTATGATTTCATTGAACTTTTAAACTGATTATGGCATTAGCGGGAACAGATACAAATCTTTCTGGGAGAAACAGGCTATGGCAGGGTAAGTAAATTATCTCAACACAGATTCTGTCTTCCTGTGGATTTCAGTGCTACTCTTACTTGGATCAATTTGTGATGATGTGTTTGTACCTGCCACAGAAGCCAAATACACAATCTGATCTTATGCCAAGCCTCTATTAACAACTGCATTTTCAATTGATTCTAGGATATTCATTAACTGGGATCCATAATTACAAATAATTTACAGACATATCACTTTAAATCACTTGCCACTGAGCTTACTAAGCGCAGTTTATGACATTCAAATACATTATCCTTAAAAATTCACTAAGTAATCAGCTTGTAAATAATTACAGTGGAATAGCACTGGATATAATCAAGTAGAAACTTAGAACAAGAATCACCAGAAATGCCTATAGATCACTTTTACCATGTGATTTTGACGTTCCCTTCAACTGCTTCCAGAAAGCCATTACGTACTGAACTGGTGGGCTCCAAAGCTGTTCCACTAACTCAACTCCATTACACCACTTTTTGTTCAATACCAGGCAGCTGATTTTTTTAATGATTTATCTACCCTTTGAGCAAGTGTCCTGTCGGTTGGGGGGCTGCTAGTGGCAAGCAGAGTGTTGCCAAATCTCCCTTGCTCTGGGGCTGGAAATGCCGGGCACTGCTTGGAGCCATGTAGCAGCCATGGCAGTGCAGAAATATCAAGTTAACTGGGTTTTAGAGCAAAGCTTGACACATCTCCATGCACAGTATTTTATTAATTTCATATGCTGATTTTATTTTTGAAGGCTATGTACAGTTTGGTTTATATCTATAGTCTTTGTCCATGGTCAATAGGGATATTTTATGTACCATAGGAAAAAAAATGCAGAGCGATGCAGGCAATTTAAATCTCTAAGTTGGAACTTCAGGACTCTCACTGAAACCTGCACCAAAGCAGATGGGTTAGGTAAATTACGTTCTTTTATTGCAAGGTGTAATGGAAAAACTAATACAAACACGTAAGACCTGGACTCTGAGCACAGCTTCCCATATGAATCATATACACACCTTCTTGCCTTACCTGAAACAAGGCTCCCATTTCTGAGTGGTGAAACCATCACTTACTGCTCTTCAGTCCCACGTCACATTACATCAGTAACATAGATGGTAGCTGGTACTCTCAGAGCCTGCCATATTTATTCTGGTGTGGTCTAGATTTATAAACTGCCCATGCACACACCTTAAAGCGCACCGCACCGTACACACTGTACCTCCCTACAGCTTTGACATCATCCCATTACTGTAATATGCAACAGCAGAGAATTTCTTGAAGATGAGGAAAATACTGCTTTTGCTGATGACTAAAGGGAGAGAGTGAGCTTATGAAATAGAGGCCTTCAAACAACACACTGTATATAGTAGAGTAGAAAAAATAAGATCGCTCAGAGCCAATAAAAATACACAGTAAGCAAGTAATGGAAAAAATTAATTTTATTTGAGCAAACCCACAATTTACAGATGAACACCACAAACCCTCTTGGTTCAACTTCATTTACTTCCATATAGAACCTTTGAATATTGGAAATAAATTAGACTAACAAATAAATGTCTTAGAAGGAACCTTTATGTTATGTGATTTTCCACTGCAGTACAACTTAATACAAAACTATAAAAATAAGACATTATTTTAAAAATATATTAATTTGCAGAACTATTGGTTGATTCAAGTTTTAAGTTACCTGATAAATTATACAGCTCAGTCACACTTTACAAACAGTTAAAAGATAAACCTACTCTGAATACAAACCAACATCCTCCTATGATCTGACTATGCCAATTCATAGTACTTCCCAGAATTTGGATCAAAGTAACAGTTCAGACACGGATCATACAAAAGAGTCAAAACTTCATCATCATCTTCGGCACTGAGGTCATCTTCACCTGTGTTAAGTAAGAAAAGTAAGAATATATCATTCTTATTCACTTAGACAACAACGCATCTGACAGACGTGACAGAATTTTTCTTTAAAGCATGTAATCTTTTGACTTCTGAATTGTTACCTTCAAGAGAACAGCAATTCACATTTTTATTATATTTCTGAAGACTTGTATTTAGTTGAGGTGAAACGACGTCAGTCAGAGTTTGCTTAAGAACCGGACTTTACAAAGTCCAATGGAGCAGTTCGCCACAAGTACCTTTACTGATAGTGGATCAAAGTATTCCTAAGTGATATTTCTCTTAAAGAATAATGTTTTAGTACGAACAAAGGCAGCCAGTGTGAATTTATGGCCTCTAAGAATGAAAGAATTTGAATGTCTGGTATCCAAGATGTCACCTAAATGTCCAGTATAGGTAAATCTATACAAAAGAGCTTTACAAAAGGAAGTAAGATTCTTTCAGACAATAAAAATTTTAAATCTAGGTTGTCTGAAGTTAAGTAAAATGCAGGAATGTTTTCATGTAACAGAAATGAATCCTTAGCCTAAAATACACTGATAAAGCCATACACTTTTATTACAGATGCTTTATATATTGTAGCTTCTTTTCTGAACCTGTCCATCTTTCATATAAGCTAAATCTAAGTTATATGATCTATAGCTTTTTGATAGGAAATAATTCACAGTTGAACACAACCTCTACCTCGAATTTCATCATAAATGTTCACCTTGTTCTCAGACTGCTAATGCAAACTGAATGCTTTGTATGCCCTAACACTTCATAATAAGTAATGGCCTGTTATGCTAACAGCAGCAGTTTCACAACGCTCAGAATCTATTTACAGCCAGGATCACACAACGATATATAGGTTACATTATCTAGAGACCAGAAAGTAGGTTGGTGCGTTTAATGCATACAGAAGTGTGCGCTTTATCGGTTGGGAAGAGATTTAATTTTTTGTTTCCTCAGTAGCATTAACAAATGCCATCAAAAAGAAACTGTCTCTTACTGTAACCAAAGGTAAAAAGGTAAAGTGAAGCTGCTGACCTCCTTGCTGTGGGTACTTCATCAGGCCTGGTGAGCTAAATGAGGTTAACTGAGATATTTTGTTTGGATAGCTCTTGGGAAAAATTACTCAGTGCAGAACGAAGGCATAGAACTGAACGTCTTTTTCTACACTTCAAACCACAGTAAACAAGCAAATGGTATTCATGCCCCATTCCCTCACATAGCCTTACATTTTCACCTGAAACCGTATTGTTATTTCCACTGAATTCTTCCTTTTATTATTTTGCTTTTCCCTGCCTATGCTTCTCTTCAAAATGATTCTCTTTTCTTCTCTAAGCTTAAATCTCCTTCCCTCTCTACCTCAGACTGGCCTCTCAATATACTCCCTGGTTTGATTCAGGAGTAAGAAATTCTTCAGACTCATCAGGGGTGTACCTCTTTTGTGTATGCCTTGAATTCATACCAAATCAGAATCAGATTGCATCCAGACTAGCTGGATTTATACCTTTATAGCAATAATTCCCTGCACGTATTTTCATGTGAACAAGAAGAGTTTTCATTTTCTAGATGTATCTTGTTTTTAAAGTTAGGCTTCTTTCTTTTAGCATCTCAAAATATCCCCAAATGCATTTTAAGGCATTTCTAGATGTTGCACCAGATTTCCAATAGCAGCACAGAGTATTCAGTTTTGAACAGATCAAAAAAACATATGAAAAACCTCACTTCTGTTCTTCTACTTCCTAAAAAGAAGTACTAATTAAATTATGTGACATTCTTCTACAAGACTCAACTAACATGTAACGGTTGCATTAGAAGGCATCTTTCTACTTTCAAATGGTTTATTGCCTGCAACTTGACCATACGTAGGAATGAAGTGCCATGGCCAAATTAACTGATAAACAAGCCACTTTCAAAGAAAATTGCTGTAGCTGCTTATGCAGCCACCATCCACACTTTTGGGGTTGATGTTGCTCAGGATTGCATGCAAAAACCTCTTGGCAGTTTAATTTGAATATCATGGTGAAAGCAAAATCAAAGCTTTTGTCCTTAAATCACTATAAAATTAAACAGCATTTTGGGCTAGAAAATAACTTGATTTTAAATGAAAACTTAAGTCTATGATATACGTTATAGAGGGAGGAGTATTTTTTAGTTCTGAGCTGAAAGAAGATTGAAGACAGACAAGCCCTGAATACCCGTCACATCAAATGAAATGCTGCCCCACTGAAATCAAGGGAGCTATTGTCTTTATGGAGAAAGGCTTTTGCTCAACGTGTCTAAACTGGGATAACCAAGAATGGATGAGGCATGTAGCAGCTTTTTCCGAACCCTGAAATGTACAAATAACGGTGCTGTTATTTGGATTATGGTACCACTGTTTACATAGTTAACACAGTGTGGGGAACGAAAATAAATACTTTCCCTTTT